GAGCTCTCTGTGTGTGCCGCCTCCTGTGTGTGGCTTACCTGCCGGAGGCCGAGGCCGGTCCCAGGCTGGAAGCAACTGCCCGAGCCCTGGCCGCGGGAGGACGCTCCGGTCCAGGCGGAGCCTGGCAGGTGTCTGCTGCTCGCTGGGGCCCCGGCGTCGAAGGGGAGGGCTGCATTGTGACCCCGGTCTGTGGGTGCTGACCTCACACAGCCTGTTCTCGCTGGAATTCTAGGCTGTCCCAGGCCATTCGGGCATTTAGTGAGGGCCTGAAGCCGGAGGGCTCTGGCGACTGCATCTTGGTGACCGGTTTGCACTATCCCCCAACAGCTCGATGAAGACTTCGGAGATGAGGGTGACCGAGCCCACATGGAGAAGCCCCGCATCCCTGCTCTACACAGCCACCCAGGCCCCTGCTCTGACACTGTTACCACTCGGTGCCTTACTCATGAATGACTTAAATGAGGCTGGGTTTCCTGGTGGTGGTGAGGGAAAGTAGGGACACTGCCCATGTTGTCTGAGGGTCACACAGCATTTACATCACAATTGGGCAGGAGTTTAAAAATGTCTGGTCCTCTCCCTCCCCACCACCTGTGGCTGTGTCCAGACGGAGAATGTTCTAGCCCTGGAGGCGGCTGTGGATGAAGTCCTTGGGGGGAAAAGAAGCAGGCCAAGGGCGATGGTGGAGTAGAGCTGCCTCGAAGAGGCAGCATGAGCTGAGAGGGTGACAAGAAGGAGGCGCTACACAGCATGGAGGACTTTCTACTCTCCAATGGGTACCAGCTGGGCAAGACCATTGGGGAAGGGACCTACTCAAAAGTCAAAGAAGCATTTTCCAAAAAACATCAAAGAAAAGTGGCAATTAAAATTATAGACAAGATGGGAGGGCCAGAAGGTGAGCTGGGGCCCTTTGGAGGGTGGGCTAGCCAATGTTGGCAGGTGCTTTTCTCAAACAGTTCTTCTTTCCTTCTAGTCAGAATGACAGTAAAGCAGATTACTGCCCTGAGGTCTGTAGTAGCCCTAGGCACGTGGAAAATCCAGGATCATTGCATCTTCCCACGTCCACAAAGCACAAAGCAAAGGGGCCTCAGTTTTTCCTTTCCCAGAAGGTGTTGGCTAGAAGATGACAGGAACCTGTGCCAAGAGGTGGGAAAGGGACAGGAAGACAGGGCTTCTGGGAAGAACCCTGGGATTCGATAGCTTTGTCTGGTTTTCAAGCACCCCTTCATCTGTGGTCTCATGGGTTGCAGGGAGGAGGTTCCAAGGGTGAGTTAACCCTGAGATAATAAAAGGTCATACTTGCCGCTAGAACATCTGAGACTATTCAGGCAGTCAAGGAGGGACAGACAGAAATGGTGAGTGTCCAGAAGCCAGAAGACGGGAGTCAGGAGGGAGGAAATTAGACCCTTCTGATTTTGATAGCCCCCTTTGTCTCCCCGCTTCCCCCAAAGAGTTTATCCAGAGATTCCTGCCTCGGGAGCTCCAGATCGTCCGCACCCTTGACCACAAAAACATCATCCGGGTGTATGAGATGCTGGAGTCGGCAGACGGAAAAATCTACCTGGTGATGGAACTGGCTGAGGGAGGGGATGTCTTTGACTGTGTGCTGAACGGAGGGCCACTTCCCGAGAGCCGGGCCAAGGCCCTCTTCCGCCAGATGGTTGAGGCTATTCGCTACTGCCATGGCTGTGGCGTGGCCCACCGGGACCTTAAGTGTGAGAACGCCTTGTTGCAGGGCTTCAACCTGAAGCTGACCGACTTTGGCTTTGCCAAGGTGCTACCCAAGTCACGCAGGGAGTTGAGCCAGACCTTCTGTGGCAGCACAGCCTATGCCGCTCCCGAGGTACTACAGGGCATACCCCATGATAGCAAGAAAGGTGATGTCTGGAGCATGGGTGTGGTCCTGTATGTAATGCTCTGTGCAAGCCTACCTTTTGATGACACAGATATCCCCAAGATGCTGTGGCAGCAGCAGAAGGGGGTATCCTTCCCCACTCATCTGGGCATCTCAACCGAATGCCAGGACCTGCTCAAGCGGCTCCTGGAACCAGACATGATACTCCGGCCTTCAATCGAAGAAGTTAGTTGGCACCCATGGCTAGCAAGCACTTGATAAAAGCAATGGCAAGTCCTCCCCAATAAAGTAGGGGGAGAAAGCAAACCCAAAAACCTGCTTCTAAAATGGTGATATATATCTTACCCTTTAAGTTCACTTACTCCATAGCTTACTCCCACCTCCCCAAGGCGGCCCAATAGGCCCCTTACCAAGACATCTTTTCCTCGAACAATCCTCCTGGAACCAAGGGCCTTACACCCAGACTTTTATTAATTGTTCTCTATGTTTATAGATGTTTAAAGTTCATTAAGTTAGACCCTAAAATCATCATGGGCAGGGAGAAGAGAGAAGGAACATGACCCACTGGAACCACTCAGGTGCTACAACTTGCTTCCCAAATAAAAGCATTTGGGATGCAGAGATTGAGAGGCTGGTTCTCATCCCGTTCTCAGACTAAAGGCCTCAGGAGACGGGCTATATCCCACCTGTGCTGCCAAGGTCAGGCTCATCCCATTCTCAGACCAGAGCCTCAGGAGCCAGGCTATACCCCACCTGTGCTCCCAGCTCCAGGCAGGGAGTCACAGCTGCAGCTGTAGAAGCCTTTCCAGTATGGGTCCAGTATGGCTGCAAAGGGGACAGAAACATCCCCAGACACTTCTGGCTTCTGTTCAATCACTTTAATGCTGTTATGTCAAATCTGTAAAAGGTTCAGGACAAACTTTTTTTGTTCCTTTTTAATTATAAAACTAACAGCTGTTAGAATTTTTCTTTTTCCTTTTTTTTTTTTCCCTTTTCTTTTCCCAGCTACAAAATACTCTGGGGAGATGCATTATAATTTAAAATATATAATATTGCACAAACAACCAAAAGGTTAATTAAACTAAAATAATTACAAAGAGAAAACCCCATCCCATCAAAAAAAAAAAAAAAAAAAAAAATAAAAAAAAAAAACCCCCACCCAAAAAAAAAAAAAAAAAAAAAAAAAAAGAATTTAGCATTCTTTCCGTCCTATCCCCTTCACTGAAGGTTTGAAGTGAAGTGCCAACCATTCATGGTGCCCCTGACAAGATCCCTTTAAGTAAGTCACTGGTGTATGCACTAGCGCATAGAATCATCAGAGTGACCTCTGTGGAGCACCGCTTCTCTGTGTGGCCTTCACTGAGCCCCAGGCTGAATGTCTTCAGGAAGGAGGACCTCTGTCTGAGACAGCCAAGTCTCAGGAGGCTTGCCCAGCACACCCCTTCAGGAGCAGAGGACTGAGGAGGAGCCGGCCTGCTGATGGATTGTGAGTACTCGCCTCTGCTCACAGCTGGCTTGTGTCCTAAGCTATAGGAGTCAAGGTAGGCAGCTGCTCAGAGCAGGTATCCAACCAGGCAACACACAGAAGGGCCTGAATGTGGCTTCCTCCTTTCTTGGGGAAGGGAAAAAATACAAGAGCAGACTCTTGCAGTGGCACAGCTGGGCTAAGGACTTGGGTGCATGTGACATGAAAAAGCCCTGGGAAGATGTAGGGATATCCCAGTGTGGTCTAAAGGAGAATCAAGGTATGGTCTTCAGATTCTGAACCCATAGAATTTTTCCAGGAGTGGAAAACGCTTGGGAGGGAGATTCCAGAGAGAGGCAAATTTCCCAGAGACGATTGCCTCTTACTCACTGGGACAGGAACCAAAACACTCTCAAGGGCAGGTGCCATAGCCTTCCTTGTTAGTTTACTAGCTTATGGGGCCTCCTCCGAGACCAGTGCTTCAGCAGCTGTCTGTGCAGAAGATTGCTACCCCAGGAGGTTTCCCAGAAGGAATCCCTAGAACAGCAGAGAAATGCAGGCTCTCCGGTGATGGGGTACAGGTCCTCCCTTTAGGTCATCCTAAGGTTGGCACAAGTCAGACTTCTGGATTTGTATTTAGAAAGGCTCTTCCAAGGTGTGAGCAGAAGGCCAGCAGGGAGCCACCAGAATCTGTACCAAGTTCTGGATGGCAGAGGCCTTTTGGGGGGACATTCTCAGTGTCTTCCAAGGCTGGCTGAGATTAGCGAGCGAGGGAGGTGGGATGTGCGGTGAGAGGGGGAGCTGCTTGTTCTGGCTCCCCTCATTCCCAGTCCTCCCACTCAGCATCTTCCAGCTGCAAAGGTGAGGAGATAATGAGAGCACAAACACACTTACTCCTCTGAGTCAAGCCCAGAGCCCACCTCCCCCTGCTGAGCAAAGCTACCACTGGAAAGGGCCCATCCCTACAACTAATCCCTAGCTTTAGGGATACACTGGGGAACACAGATGCATACTGCCTGAAGGAGAGGCTTGCTGCTTTCATTGCTCCAGATTAACTAAAGCCAGCTCTGGGATGGCCTGCCTGAGGAGTGAGCAGTAAGGCAGCCGCCTAAAGGAGATCCTGCTTCCTGCAGAGCAAAGGCTATGCATGTTAAAAGCCAAGCACTGAGCCGGGCATTGGTGGTGCACGCCTTTAATCCCAGCACTGGGAGGCAGAGGCAGGCAGATCTCTCTGAGTTTGAGGCCAGCCTGGTCTCCAGAGCGAGTGCCAGGATAGGCTCCAAAGCTACACAGAGAAACCCCGTGTTTCTCTGAGAGGGGCACGTGACTGTGAACAGGGCAGCAGCGTGCTGCAAATGCTAACACAGATAAAACTTTGCTCTTCTCTCAACTTTAAAGGAGTCATACAAGCTTTAGGGAGTCTTAACTTGGATCCATCTGTCACAGGTCAAATGGACTCTTTCCTCCTCCTGTTAGATGTATGTTCTCTTTGACAAGGTCTTCTCCAGGGGCTCTGCATCCTGACTTACAGCTCAAGTATCATACCTAGTAGGTTTTGTTGTATGTTTGCTTATTCTTTCAGAGCTGGTGATCAAGCTCAAACCTCCCAAATGCTTTGGGGAGTGCTCGAGCACAGAGCCACATTCCCAGCCAAGCATATCAAGTTCTAAAGAGAGCTAAAAGACAAACTAGCAAATCCTTAAGGCCTAACAGGACATGGGGTCTTCTGTAATAGTGAGAAATAAGTCATTAATTGCCCAGCTTTTCAATATGAAAAAGCAGGTCCCTGTCATTGAGCATGGTTGTTCATGCCTAAGGTAAGAGGATTGATGCAAATTTATGACCAACCTGGGATACAGTGAGTCACTGATAACCCCCACTCCCACTATAGAGGGAAAAAGGAAAGAAATGGAGATCAGGGAGGGAGGAAGCAGGGAGAGAGAGAAAGAGGAGAAAAGGTAACAGACTCAGACACTATGTCTCTCTAATTCTCTAAACTGCCCACTTCTTTTTTGTTTTGAGACAGAACCTCTTGTATAGTCTTAGTTGTTCTAGAACTCGATACGTAACCAGGCTGTCCTTGAACTCAAGCTCAGAGATCTGTCTGCCTCTGTCTCCTGAGTGGTGGGATTAAAGGTATTTGCCATCATTTCTGACCTAAACTGGGCCAATTCTTGATTTGGGGAGGCAGCAAGGAATGAAAACAACAAATGGCTCATTTAAACTGAATAGCAGGAATGGGTTTTGTCTACTGGATGCCATCATATGACAGGCACCAGACTTACAGGGTTTACATGATTTACCTTGGTAAAGCTTCAAAGCCAGCTAGTTTCAATCTTATTATTTTAGATGAGGAAAGAGGTTAAATGACTTGATCTCAAGGGTCTTCTGTCTCCAAGGCCAGGAACCCGCTAAGGTCCTGTAAGTCACAGGACCAGGGTCAGGCTTTAGTATCTAAATATCTTTCTCTGTTTTAGCCCAGGCCCAAGTCAGCCTGAATTTGCTGTGCACTCCAGGCAGTAACCTCTGTGTCTTCCTGAGCACTGTGCTTACACCGGCAATGTGTCAGCATGCCCGGCTCAGCATCTGTTTTCTTCTTGATCCTTGGGCGACTGTGAAACAGACCTAAGGTCAAGAATTCATTCACGCGCACAGCGTAGGACTGAGCAGTGGCAACCCTTTCTGCAGGCATCAGCTCAGCTGGATGCAGGGAGCAACATCAAGGCAGCAGGTTTGTTGGGAAAGGGCTTCCACCCTGACATCACTGGACCAGCTTGCTCTGGCTGACCAGACCACTTACCTCATCTGAGGCATCCACTTTGGAAAGTGCCATCTGCACTTCTTCTTCAGTCATGTCCAAGTCAAAGTCCTTCTCCCAATCCTCACTGATGTCTGTGCTTGAGCCTGGAATCATAAGTCACATGCAATAAGCATTGCATGACAAGGAGGGAGTGTCTAAAGACGCTTATTATGCACACTTGCGTGTGTGTGTGTGTGTGTGTGTGTGTGTGTGTGTGTGTACTAGCAATCTTTTTTGTTTGCTTTTTGAGACAGAAACTCTGTGCAATAGCTCTGGCTGTTCTGGAATGTGTTTTGTAGACCAGGCTGGCCTTGAACTCACAGAGATCTGCCTGACTCTGTCTGTTCTGGAATGTGTTTTGTAGACCAGGCTGGCCTTGAACTCACAGAGATCTGCCTGACTCTGTCTCGTGAGTGCTGGGATCACAGGTGTTCACTACTGCTATCTGGCATGCTGGCAGTCTTTGAGGGGATGACATGAATCATTTTCAATTGGGCTCAGTGATCTTACCTGTAGAACTGTAAGGGGAAACCCTGAGGCAATAGAAAATTTAGCATTCCAAGGGATATAACTCAGTAGTAACACACTTATACAATAAACCAAGGTCTATTCAGATCTCTAGTAACATACACACTCTTACACTTAGGGCTGGGGATAGCGCAGTGTTTGCCTATATGTACAAGGCCATGGGTTCTGTCCCTAGCACTGCTAGGGACATCAAACCAGTGTGGTGACATCTGCTGTGCTCTCTAGCACTTGGGAGACAGAGGCAGGAAGGTCAAGAGTCCAGATCAGCTTTGATTACATAGATTTTTCCAGGCCAACCTGGGGCACATGAACACTTATCTTTTTTTTGAGGCAGGATCAACTATATAGCCCTGGTTGTCCTGGAACTTGCTATATAGACACTGGCCTTGAACTCACAGAGATCCATTTATTCCTCTGACCCTTGAGTGCTAGGATTAAAAACACATGCCACCAAGCTCAGCCCCT